TGAGTTTTTTCCATTATAAACCTTCCATTATATTGATAAATATACAGTACTCAATACACATTTCATTAAAAATGTAAGCATCTATATAAACAGACATTCACACACCTTTGAACTGTGTATCATTAAAGCTATATTTGCAAGTGGGTAGGCCTGCAGTTGCCTATTCCTTCTTCATTGATGAGGTAAACTTGCAATATTTAGCCTCTTTTCAGCCTTTGGCTCCACAAGCTGAGGAAAAAACCCCACTTTGTTATTCACAATACAGATTTATGTCTTAGGTTTCATAACTTCTTTTGTCTGAGTGATTTCTAGTAGTTCTAATTCAAATATTCCACCTTGTACCTTGTTATTTCAGCCCTGCCTATGTCTGAGCAGAGCTCTCATTTGTCAGCCTGATTCAGCTGCAATTTCAGCAGAAGTTTCAGATTACTTTTCTGGGTGAATTTTGCATATTGAATGTTCAGTCTATATATATCACTTTAAAAAGATTACAACATACTTTCTGAGAAGTCACACTTACTAAGTGTGACCAAAAAAAAAGTAAAATATCAAGAAGCTTTCCCATTTTCTTGGAAAAAACCCCCAGTGGTATTATACAAGTCTTTCCTCAGCAGTTTCCTAATAAGAACCTGATGCTTCCTGGTGACTTTGTGAACCATTACATAACATCTATTTATGTTACTACTAGCTCACAGGATCAGATTCATAGTCTATACTTAAAAAACCTCAGTGGGTTATAAAACAAGATTGCATCTCTGTCAGACACGTGTATCAGATTTGCTTCAAAATGAAAGAGTAATAAATTCAGATTAGATCCTCTAGGGCATTTTGAATTTTACCAATTTCAGTATCTTTAACTGGAGGGAAAATAAATGGAGCGATAAAGCGCAAATCATGTGGCAGAGAGAGAGAGGCAGAAAAGCTTTAGTGAAACATTCATAAGATTATTTTTTTTTAAATAGGAAAAACAAACTTCTCCATCTCTGTTCCTATTATGATTACAAAAGAACTGCCAAAAATGTTGACAATAAAAACACACCGGAACACAAAACTTTAATTTGGAATTAAATAGTACAGCTACTCTGTTTGCGTGAAGTTCAATGCATCTAAAAATATCACAGACAAAAATGGCAAGCTAGCATTCGGAACAACAAATCTTTGACCTTCATTTCAACTATATAAAGGGAGATCTCTAAAATACAGTGAGAAGAAGAAAGCACCATATAACATGCAGTCTCATCAGTCTTACTATTTAATGTTTTAGACACACGTCTCTGTTGCTACCACAGGATAAACTGGCTACACAGTTCAAAACTGGAGTTGAAACACAATGTGGAAAACTCCAAATCTTTTGTACCTTATCTGCAAACCACTAAAAGTGAGCAAACATAGACTCTTTTTTTTGTTTGTTTGGTTTTTTTGTATCAGATGGAGGTAAGATTTCTCAGAGGCAACCTTCCGGTCTATCTAAAACCAGACTCTCAGCCGGCCTTTGTGTGACCACCAGAGGGCAGGGCAGATGCAGCAGAAGATTAAAGCTTTCCTACACAGTAGAGTACAGACCATATTGACAAGAGCGGCACTTTTATTTCCTGGAAAGGTAATTTAATACTTAGTGCTCTATTTGTAAAAGCCCTAGATAGGAAAAGGTTTAAAACCAGTATAAGGAGTCTAAATGTTCTATTCTCACCTGGAAATTATTTCAGATAGCTACAGACAGAAGACATTCATCAATTTACCAACCTTCTTATTTTAAAGTGAAATGACATTTTTTAAGCAGTGAAGACAAAGTTCAAACAGTTTCACCAAGGTTTTAAGTGATTAAAGCAAAAAAGTGCTACCTTTTAACAACAGGGCTTAGACATTGAACAGTGACTGTAACAACAGAAGTGTTAATAAAATAAAAGCAATTTACTAAATCACAAGTGGAAGTTACCAGTGTTAGAATAGCAAATTGCAACATAAAAAAATCCACCACCCAAATCCAAGCATAATACAAAATTATGCAAGTGCTAATGCAAACTCAAATTACACATCATATGCACATGAGAAATGAACCAGTTACAGTACACAAGTGGAAATACTCTCTGGCAGTATCCTTACTCTTTCTTTCCTGACAGTTTAATAAAATTAGCATCCATATTGTAGGCTAACCTTCCCTTCCTCATCAGATTTCTTCATCTACCTTTTAAACTAATAACTACTGAATACTAAACTTTTAAAGAAGAGTCCCTCATTCTGTTTGCTCGCACATTTGTTTCCTATCAGCTCTACTATTTGTTAACCAGAGTCAAACCACTGCAGTTAATAATTGTTATGAGACCAGAAGCACGAGCTTGTATTTTTCAGCATTCCCATTCAAATCTGTATGCTAAAATTTCTTTTTGAAGAAAACGCCAAAGATGTGTGATACGAAATGAGGCAATCAGGCAGTATCTAGAAGAATTTAAGCCCTTTTAAGGCAGCTACAGAAGCAAAATGTCTGATGAGGGAGCAAATCCATTACAAAAATCTATTTTAAGAGCTCAGAAAGTGAACTGTACCCCTTGGGGGGAGAAATGACTCACTCAGAAGGTAACAGAAAAAATTTACCTTGGAAAAATTAAGACTCCTTTCCTACTTTTCTAAATCCAGCATTTTTTCTTAGTATCCTCTTCTTTTTAAACAGAATAAAATATAGTAGGGGTAATTTACCAAAAAGGTCAAACAGCCACTATACTCAATGACCAGAATAATTCTCGAAGAAACCTATCATTACTGAAAAACACAACACGAAATCTCCAGCTGTAGCAAGCACTCCCTTCCTCTCACTGACCTGTTATTTGCAAATTCAGCTGTAAAACTAAACATGGTGCTAGCTTTGGAGAAAATGCTGTAGGTGGGAGAAATTAACTCTTTAAGGTCCAGCAGAAAAATCTCCTAGTCATTTCAAGGCTGAAGGACTTGATTAAAAATGCATAAAAAATTGTTGACTTCAGTGTGGTGCTCCAAAAACCTTACTGTTCTTCGTGTAGTAGGTGTTGACCTATAAGAAAGCAAAGCAGACCTGAACTGAACTGCCATTACTATTCAAATATGAAAAGTTAGTCATGAATAGAATAGCTATGTTTTTTCAAATTAATATTCCACATGGGGAGACTATCTTGAGCAGAATGGTTTGTGTGTTTTGGTTTTTTTTTTTTTTTTTTGGAGTTAAACATTAAGTATTAAAAGATCTTCCACAGTTACATGGTTTGACAAGCCTGATGCTTGCACAGTGGTGGTAATTACTATATTTGCATGCATGTGATTTACTATGCTTTGATTCTGAATAAAGAACCATAGTTTTATTTTTCAAAAGTCATATATGTAGTAAAAACTGTATTTTAAATTTTTTTTTCTTTTTCTTTTGTAAGATATATAACATTATGAAACCACCAATTTGCGAGAATTAGTTAAAAGAGTGCACTTCTAATTTCTGGCATTAACTTCCTGTTTTCCTGGTACTAAGCAAAAAAGTGAAGAACTGGCTCTCATGCTGAGAACTGGCTCTTATACCTCAGTTCGTGGTGAAGGCTATCAAGACCTCATGGATCCCATCTAAAAACCTCTTTGCCCTCCTCCCGTAAGTATTTTTTCAGAAATACTGCTTAGGACTTGCAGCATCTTATGCTGATTTAGGGGGATTATCCCCTCTTGAAACATGATGTTTATCCTTCAGGCCCAAGTCAGTGTACAGAGATCTTTGGAACTTTAAAAAGCCCAAGACATTTGATTTTAAGGTGTTTGTTCTTGAAACTACAGAGGCAGATCAGCCACCACCCCACTCCACATGTACCAACAAAAGCTTTATCTAGAAGCTAGGATTGTGATTAGAGTCCACTTCCTATTTCTGATAGTTTGTGTGCACTTCTTATGAAAAGCTGGCGTTGTCATGGTAGCAAAAGCACAGGTCTAGAGGTAATAACAATGAGAAAAGGACTAAACTGGTAATGGGTATCTGAAGCACTAGGCGTCCTGCACTGCTTACAGTACAACCACATGAGCCATCGGTGCAAACAGTGATAAGCAAATTGTAACAGGCTGGGCTAGTTTTGTGTGAAGTTGTGTTGGCTATGATAATATCTTAATGTTAAGAAATCTCATCATAAACTGGAAGTATAGCCTCACATAAGTAACAGAGGAAGACACAACATGAAACCACTCATGCTCTGACCGCATGTTTGGCCCATTGCAGTTTGCAAAGGCTGCTAGAAGTCTTCTCCTGTTCCAAAGTTGGGGGCAGACAACCCTTTTTCCCCCCCTCCTCTCCAAAGAGGTGTCATTTTGGTTTACCTCGGAAGGTGTTACGTACATGTTTATGTGAACTAAGTCTACTGTCCCTGTTCCAAGTCCTGACACAGGAGATGCCATCAATCAGGGCGCTCTGGATGCAGCATTTTGATGTAAACATGCTACAGAAGAGGCAAAATTGTAAAATTATATTTTCAAGCGTGTTTTTTTTTGTTTTGTTTTCTTGGAAGACTTTGAAAAGGTCGGTGTTTAAAACAGCAGCTGACATTGGCTCAACCTTCAGTCCCCAGCGCTTCAGTCCCCTGCGCTTGACCCCGAGAGGACTGCCAAGGTGGGGACCCCTAATGCTCACCCGCCATCTCCAGCCGCAAAGCCCTGGCAGGAAGAAAACGAAACCCCGAGTCACCCGCTGAGAGAAAGGGGAACCGGCGCTTTCTTGAACTGCGCCTCAGGTGCCGCCTGGGCCGGCGGTTTCGGTATGCAAAGAGGCCGCCGCGCGGCGCTTCCTCGAGCACGGCTGCTGGCCGGGCGGCTCCGAACGAGATCGAGGAACTTCTGTATCATGCTAAAGAAAACAGTCATTTATAGATTTTAGTTAGGTTTTTTGTTTTTGTTTTTTGTTTTTCAAGCGATCCTTTTAAGCACTACCGGCCCACCTCCCGCCCCCCGGCTCGCATTGGAGGAACGACCAATAACCCCCCGCCCCGCGTCCCCTTTAAGGCTTCCCGGCCGCCTCCTCCCACGTGGTGCGGAGCAGAGGCGGGGATTCGACGGTGCGTCAGTTCCGTTTTGCCCGTGCGGTAGAAGACCGGAGTGTGGAGTAGGACGTGAGTGTTGGGGTCCCCCCATCGCGCCCCGCCGGGGCCGCCGCCATTTTCTCTCATCCCCCGACCCTGCCGCCGGCCGCGGGGGCCCCAGTATCTCCTGGCCGGCGCCGGGAAGGCGCGTTGGGGCAGCCGTGTAGCGAGGCTCCCCCGTGTTCCGCGACGCCCCGCTGTTCCCTGCGGGAGGGATGCCCCGCTGTGGAGCGGGCCTGGGGCGGGAGGAGGAGCTGCCGTCGAGGAGAAACTGCCATGTTGGGGGGGCAGAGAGGATTTGAGTGAGGGAGAAAATGGCGGCGGGGAACCGCCCGGCTCCGTTCCCCCCACCGCCGGGATCTGACCCCGCTTGCTGAGACCCCCCCACGGCTTTTTTTTTTGTTTGTTTGTTTGTTTTTTTTTTTTTTTTTTTTTTTTTTTTTCGTGTGCTACCTTTTCTTTCCTCCGCCGCCGGTGACCTGCAGCTCGCTTGCTGCCACCTTGCCTCGGGATGACCTAGGCGTTTTTCCCCGTGTGCTCCTAATCGGGCTCTCGCCCCTTTCCGTTGGGGGGCAACACAAGCCGTGGAAAAGTGTAATAGAGGAGGAAAATGGCGGCTGGGATCCGCCTACCTGGAGTTCCTAGCTCCTCATGGCTTGTCTTCCTCTTATGTCCTTCGTCCTCGTTTGGCCCGTCTCCCTCCGCCCTCTCTCTACCCGGTGCTGCGGTGTCTCCTCACGCTCTGCTTGCCAGTCTCTCCCGAGGGGTGCCCTCCACCCCCCATTTCTTCCACTTTCCGCCCCCACCTTCCTCCATGTTGTCACTCTCTCATCCTGATGCGGACCCTGGGGTTATCCCCTGCTAGCCCCCTGCGTATCAGTCTTTTCCATGTTCGGCTCCCTCATCTCATTGCTGTGCTTATTTTTACTTTGTCTCATTCCAGCTCTCCTCTGCTTCCCTCCTGCAGCGTGACTTGTGTGTGCTTCCCAATATCCTGTGCTGATTTCAGTGCTGCAGCTTCTATTGTTGACCTCCAAGCCACTACGGCAGAACTTGCCCAACTTTAGAATCACTAGTAGTATTTAGATACGTTAGCATTATTCAGACACTGTTTTCTTTTGCATGTGCATTTTTCACTGCCAGTTTAGGAACACTACTACACCTTTTTTCTCTTCTGAGATGCTTCTTTAATGCTTTTTCAACCCTTCCCAGCTGTAGCTTATTTTATGCAGTTTTTCTCTGGGATGCTTATTTTTAATCTGAAAGAACAAATCAGCTATTTATTTGTTAAAGTTTCTAGTAGTAGGCAAGATGTGCAACTGCTATATCTAACCACATGTTTGCATATGAGAGAGATGTAGAAACAAACCTGACAGCATGCATTCAAGGAAAGTTGAATGTCCACTTGTCTGATGGATGAATGGACTGTAGTGATTGATGTGTTGAATCTGCAGTGGAAATACTAATTGCAGTACTGTGGTTCACTGTAACTGAGGTGTTTTTCAGACTTTTGTATCATTGGTGGGAACTTCAACTTCATGTATGACGATTATGCAGCGTGTTTCTTGCAAATTCAACTGGGTGAAATACCCGTGTGAGAGTAGGGATAGTGATAGGTCTTTGATAGTTTATATTTGTGAACATAATACTTTTTGTGAATGTATTTTTTTCATTATGGTTTCTTTCACATCTCAGGGTATATGAAACAGGTTAAAAATTGTCTCTGTAAACAGTTCAGAAACTAAAATTTTCATTTAAAGTAGTTGCAGCAAAAATGAGAAAAAATATAAGAGGGAAGAGGAAGATTGCATTGACAATGTATATTAAAGCTTATATGAGAAGGCAGGGATGCCTTTGGGAGGGTTTTGAATAAGATGAGCCCTTGCAAACATGTTTGAAAATGGCTTTCCAGCTGTAATGGGACATATTTCTTGTATAGTGTTCTCATACTATTTTTCTCTTCTTAGAATGCCTAAATCAAAGGAACTTGTGTCTTCAAGCTCATCTGCCAGTGATTCAGATAGCGAAGTTGACAAAAAGGTGAACATTATATGCAGTTTATTACTACTGTATTAACTCTTGTATTTAAGGCTGGGGTCAAGGAATTAGGTGAGCACTATGTCACAACATGTATGTCATTCCCTAGAATTTATCACTTAACCCAAAACCCAGAAATCCTTTCCCCCCATCCCAAACAACTACAACAAAAAATCTCCACCTCTCAAGATTAGGGTTTGAGTGGGTAGGATGCTTTTTTCGTTGCACTAAACTTTTTCTAAGTTGCATTTTCTCCTGAGGGTTTTCCATATGATATATCTAACCACAAGCTTCCTGGAATTCTTTGCTCCTTTTCTTCAAGTGATAAAAGGCTTTTGTATAAGCTGCCCCTGGTGGCAAGAATTTGGACTAATTTTGAGGACAAACACCCACCCCTCTCCACCTCATTTTGATATCTGGATTGCTTGTCCAAAACAAACCTTCACTTGCTTTGTCCTCAGTGTGCCACTGGCATACCTAGTTTGCATGTTCTTTTTCTCTGTTTCAGATTTTTACATTTAACTGTAATACCATAAGCTAGTTTTTCACTTAAAAGCTGAGCCAGCCTGCCTGACTTTGAGCTGATTAATTTTACTATGTTTACTGTTTTAAATGTATAAATTGAGTGTTGCCATATATTTTGAATAGTTTTTTAATTTACAAGTTTGTATAGACGTGCCAGTCATTATGAACAAAACCAGACAAAAACAGTGAATTTGTCTTTTTAAGAAAAGCTAGGTGGTAATGCAGACATCATCAGGTCTTTTAATGTAGCATGTGAAGAGACTTGGTCTGCTTTACTGAATTGGTTCAAAAGTCACTTGGTTGCACTTTGAAAATTAGGTGTTCTGTCAGATCTTAATATAAGAGAAAATGATCAGGTTTTTTTTTTATTTGGAACTGTATTCCTGAAAACACAGTCTAGCAGTCTGCTTTAGTGGGCAGTAGAGCGGTTGTTATAACCTCCCATATTTGTTGGAACTGTTGGTCTTGAAAAGAGGTTATCCACAGCATCATTCTAGCAGGTGAGACTAATTTTTGGTGTCTTTGTATTACTCCCTTTTTTTGGGGGCAGGCGTGGTTACTATATAACCATTAGAAATAGTAACTTTGTAGCATCTGCAGGTAATCCAATTTACAGGTGGTATTGTCTGAATGTTTTAAATGTGTTTAATGTACCATGCTATAGACAGAGACTTGGCATTAATTTAAAAAAAAATACAACTCTGGAGATGATTTCGAGATCCTTTCTTCATTATGTCATCTAGTTTTTTTTTCTTTTTTGGAAGAGTTGTAAGCTGTCCTGCGTTTTTTGTTGCACTCAGTGGAAATTAAACTTCCATTAGACTTTAAATTTTTTATTAAAACTACTGAACTGACAGTATTACCATGCAGAAAGAGTAGGATTTTTGAAATATGTTTTGATCTAGTTAACTTCTCTGTAAAGCCAGAGTATTACAGCAAACTTCACTAAGAAGCAGCATCAGGCTTATTTGAAGATTTTTTTTTTTTTTAAATTCCAATCTAAATGTACAGTATTGGATTCCTGTCTTCACAAGCAGGAAAGTGATAGTGTACATTGCTTAGTAGTAGTTGGTGACCTCTAACATAAAGTTTTCAGTAACTTAATAGAATGAATTGTTTCATGCTTTTCTTTTTATTTTCTCCAAGGCAAAGCGGAAAAAGCAAGCAGCTCCAGAAAAGCCTATAAAGAAACAAAAGACTGGTGAAAGTTCAAAAGGTGCAGCTTCTTCTAAGCAAAGCAGTAACAGAGACGAGAATATGTTTCAGGTAAAACTGGTGACTCTTAGAGTCTGGTTAAGGTAACATTACATCATATTCACTATAAAACTTGTGAGATGATCTGAATATCTGGACAGCATAGTGCTTGGTCTCCTGAAACCTTGGCCAAAGGGGATTACGATGCTAGCATGCAAATGAGATGCTCAGAAAGCATTGTCAGGTTTCAGCAGAGTAAAAGAATCTGACTTGTAGCAATTGATATAACCATCATATCTTTGCCCGCTCTAACTCTGGTTAGTCATTTTGTTGGTATATACAGCACTTTCTGTGAGAATACTGTAAATACTTTATCTGGACTGTCTCTACATGGAAATGTTTTCTAATTGGGGCTCTTGAAAGAAAGCTTCTTGGAAACCAGAGTATAGACTCTTAATTCCCGTTTAACCAGGTCAAGAGCATCTTGGCTCCTGTATGATCAGACAGTGTCTTGGAATAAATTTTGCCAGTTGCTTTGTTTTATGATGCAGGTTTTTGTCACTGAACATCCAGAAGGATTGTAATTTTTGACAGATCCTTGTTTTTAAGATGGGATGGATGTACATTTTTCAGTAGCAAGATGCATGTGTCAATTCAGGGTATTGTAGTGAATTCCTGGGGTTAGCTACAAAGAACTGAAATTCTTAGAGACATTTGATTCTTAAGTTTGTTAACAGGTATGGGAGGGATGCCTAATAAGATGGTCCCAACACTGAATAAGGCAAAATAAATGGTTTGGGGCTGTAGCTGTGCAAAATAATATAGCAAAAAATACCCCAAACCCTTTCTAGGGAGAAGACTAACTGAACAGATATATTAAAAATAACTGACCTGTATTACAGTATCAATTCTTGCCTTCCTCTTATAGTTGTGAGGGAGAGCCTCAGCTGAAGGCAGTGCCTGGACTTACTCATCAAAGGAAGAATATAATATTTTTATTTTTCCTGGGGTATGCTTTGAACCATGTAAGAAGAATGAGATACATGGTTCTTCCAGACTTTGTGGTGAACTGCAGTTAGAACTCAAAAATATGTATAAGCTTTATGCTACGTTTGTAATAAGTTCATTTAGAGCACTTTTAATGCTCCCAGATGCAAAAAAAGTCCAAACTGTTTCAAATGAAAGCAAAAGTATTTGCATGCTCTGATTTCTTTCAACCTTTTTGACCTAAGATAATAAAGTTACTAAAAACAGACAGCAGAGGACTCCTATTAGTCTGAACAGGAATTCTTCCAGTGTTGAGTATAATACAGAAAAAATACTTGAATATCACCTTGACCTAAAACATCAGTGTTACTTAGTATATGCCTGTCTTTAGTTAATCAACAGAATTTTTTTAAGATGTCTTAGTGTGTTATGTGAAGCTTTGAGTTTTTTCATGTTGCATCAGCCTATGTGAGTTAACTAAGATGCAACTGTTTCAGTGTAGAAGTAGCCTGTAGGTCTGAGGATACTCCCCCTCTCTCTGCCCTACCTAGGAGAGTGTGCTAGAAGATCTAGTTGCATGTTAATTTTTTAGGTATGGTCTTGTTTGCCCTGGGACTATTAGTAATACTAGAAACTCTCCTTTCTGCTTTCCCATGGCAGTAAAATGATCTCTGATGTGCAAGTGACTTTGCAGTATAACTTACAAGTGTGGCTTCAGTTGATGGAAATCAGGCTGTAAAGCGTTCCTAGGATAGAAGTTCTGTGGTGTCCATATTCTGGGTGGAAGTGGCAGCAAATGATGTGAAACTCAGAGGCTGCTTGTTCCATACCCACAGGCTGTATTCTCAAAGTGTGCATCTTCCCTTAATATAGAGCTTATTGTGACTGCTGTGTTTAGAAGATTTAGCATTTTCATAAAGATCTACATTTTACTATTTTTGTTTGAGTAATGTTGGTGTAATCATATTCTTGAAACTAATTATGAAGAATAGTATAAATGTAAGTAGTAGGGAATGAAGTCATTATAAGAGACCAAGCATATTTATTTACATGTCTTGGCCTTTTTAAGATTTATAGGTAGCCTCGTATACTTTGGATTTTGTGTTAAAGTATTAGGGTGCAGCTGGGGTGCGGAAATTTATCTTCCATTTGTGATGTATTACTAGAGACCCTGAGGATGAGCATTATTTATGTTAATGTGGAAGGATTTAGTGTTGATACATTCGATTTCTGACTGTGGCCTCAAGCCGACATAAGCTCTGCATCATGTGCTTTGGCTAGTTTGATAAATCCTGTCATCTACTTATGCCTGATTTGGATAAGGTTTGTCAATGCTGTCAGGATGCAGTATTAATGACTGTCCAGAGTGGAACAACACTGCATGATCGTGCATTTCACTGAAATTGCTACTTCAAAAGTTGTTCATCTGTGTGTTGTCCCACCTCCCTCTCTTACTCTTTTTTTTTTAAAGTTTGAGTCTTACTTGTTTTTTGACTTGGGAGAGATAAGTTCTTTGGTTTTCTAGTGTAATGTCTTTATCATAGGCTTCTGAAAGTAGATAAATACATAGGTTCATGATGTTCTGGAAAGGTGATTGGTTTAGCACGTTAATTTTGAAACTGAAGTGGTCACCGATGCATTTTCCAATCAATTTACTTTTTTGCAGATCTCATTACTTACAGGATTCTTTATTGTGTTCCTAGTGCTATACATATAGTTATCAGCTAAAAAAGAAGGATGCTTTTTTAGCTCTTTCTACTTCCACAGTGTGTTTACAGTTTAATCAAGGTAAACTGGAGGTAGGAAGAAAAATGGTGAAGGGGATAGTTACTGAAAGTCATACAGGAAGTCAGTTGCATAGCTGTGAAAGGAACTGAGACATGGTTCAGTGCATTTTACTCTAAGAAACGGAAACCTGGAAATAATACTTTTAATGTCTTCTCATTTATGTAATTCAATAGTGTAGTATAAAGAGCTGTAATATTTAATAAAAAGCATAAAAATTTGTGTATGAAAGTTGAACTGTAGTAACTATGCTGCTATAAATCAGTGTAACCGTTGGAACACTGCTGTGGTTATAGAGATATAAAGATGTCTTAGATCAGTGAAATTTTTCTAGGACTATTAGCTGCTGTGTGAAAAAAGAATGGTTCAGAAATTAATCTGTGCCACAGTTGCAGGTAACTGAATGTGAAGAAATGCCAAATCTAGATTTTAGTTGAGGTTTTTAATCTTGGAAGTTATTTGAAACTACTTTAGAAGCCTATTTAAAGCTTTTAGCAGTGGCAGTGTTTGCATACAATTCAACTAAACATTCAAAATTTAATGTGAACATTCAGCTGAAATCTAGACAGTGATTTAAAATCTAACTAATGTGTTTCCTAAATAGAAACGTATTCAGAAATTGCGGTTGTCTCATGAATATATAATTTACTTTCTGTACATTTGAAATAGACTAAAATTTAGATTGGGGAGTAGAGCTCCCTCACTTCCTGTTTATAACTGCTGCACAGATGGTTATAATAGAGGCAAAATTTTGTTTCAGAAAACAGTAAATTAGCGGCTTTTGTAAGAAGTAAGCATATTAATATAGGTGTTTATATTCTAGGAGAATTACTTTTGCACTGAGCACTGAATGCTCAACTTGCTTTAAGTTGTTCATCTGTTTATATTGTCATTACTTATTAGCTTGCTGACTACTTGTGGTTTGAGTTCAGAATGCAATTGAGCACCACACAGCTGCTCACTCCCCACTTCACCCCCAGCACTGTGAAGGAAAAAATAGATAAAAAGGTTTGGAAATTAGGATAAGGACTGGGAGGGGTGACTTATCCATTAGTCCCAAGCAATGGACAGACACCAGACTCATCTCAGGAAGAAAAAAGAACATAAATATAGTACGTACAGTAACAACACCATCACTTAAGAGGTGGAGTAGAACAGTGAGAGGCATTACTACATCTTAAAAACACCTTCTACCCTTCCCTTCTTCACATGCTCATCTTTGCTTCCGATTTCTCTACCTCCTCCCCCTGAGCAGTTCAGGGGGCAGGGAATGGGCGGGTGTAGTCAGTCCTGCCCCTTCTTCCATGTCAGAGGAGGTGGGAGAGTGGGGAGTGTGTGTGTGAACTTCTGGCTTTCTCCCCCTGCTCCAGCATGGTCCCTTTCTCAGAGGAGATAGTCCTCCACAAACAGTCTCATGTGAGTCCTTCCCATGCGCTGCAGCATTTCCAGAGCGGCTCCTGTGTGGGACATCCCAGAGTGTTGTCCTCCCAGTGCTGAACTACAACAGTGAGAGCTGCTGCTTCCCACAGAGTTCTGCAGGTCAACAGCAGCTCTACCAGTGACTGCCATGGGTGGTGGTGGGAGGTGGCCCTGCTGTCTCACCATGGGATACAGGCGTCTCTGCTCCGGTGTACCTCACCCCCTGTTTCTTCTGTTGGTGTTCACATAGCTGTCACAATTCTTCTTTCCAGGTTCACCTTCTTAAATACATTATTGCAGAGGGACAGCCACTGTTGCTAATTGGCTCAGCCATTGTGCAGATGTGGTTCTGGGGGAGCTTTGAGAAGCTTCTCACAGGGGGCCATGGCTGTAGCCCGCTCCCCCACTACCTAAAACCCCACCACACACACAAACCCAGCACACTAATCTGGACTAAGGTTTTGGTCTAGTTGTTTCTCTGGTGTCTAAAATAAGCTGCAGTGTACAGTGTCACATGTCAGAGTCTGATGCTGCTGGGAAAAGTGAATGCTGCAATATGTAAAATACCTAAAAGACCCTTTTATGTGTGTTGACAGATCGGCAAAATGAGGTATGTCAGCGTTCGTGACTTTAAAGGGAAAGTCTTAATTGATATTAGAGAATATTGGATGGATCAAGAAGGTGAAATGAAGCCTGGCAGAAAAGGTATTGTTATACTTCATGTTATTTTGCATTAAAACATTTTCTGAAGTTTTGTGGAGAACTTTATGTATCAGATTTTTACACTTAGTTGCTACTTGATATAAATTATATTTTAACAAATGATTAGTTTTATCTGTAGATCATAAACAAAAAGCAAAGTCGGTTCATTGTTCCGAGTTTGTTTTCCTAAATGGATCCTCCATGATTCCATGATTTATGAAAGACAAGGCATCAAATATAAGTAAATTTGGTATGGGAGTTATAGCCATAATTTTTCCTCCGCATTGATTAACTTAACGCAATTTATTTCTTTTATTCCAATTACTCACTTGTGACAAGTTATTAATTTCTTTAAAACAATTATTCATTTCTATCAAATTTTAGATTAAAATAATCAAAACATTTTTTGTGACTAATTTTAGAAAAAATGTCAAGATCTTATTTGAGGTGAAAACACCTCAAGTGTGTAAGTTTTTGTACTGTGCTTCTAATTTGCAGCACAGCATAAGCCATTGTACCTTTAATTGCTACTGCCATACCTGCTTTATATGGCATACCTTCACTGAACTGTTTTCAGAACTTTGCCAATAGTAAGATGAGGATGTGAGGATAGTTGCAGTAGTAGTGCTTTGCTTAGCATCATGTTGCTTCTGTTAGAAAAGCCTACTTTTAATCAATTTTCATATTACGCCGAGGGAAGAGGTAAGCATGAAACACTTTGCCCTGGAGATTGAAGTCTTTAATGTACAAACAGCATAAGGTTTGTTACATTCCTCTGGTTTGTCCAGGAGCAACTCAGTGAACAGACATGTGGAAAGCTTGAGAAGCATTTTCAACATTTCTTAAATAACCACTGAAAATAGGTTTGTATGAACAGATGTACTGGTGTTGTACAGGAAACCTTCTTGTTTTGGATTTGTTGCTACTTAAAAAATACTACTCTAACTTCTAAGGATTCTAACATGCTGTATTTTGAGGTAGAAGTCAAAAGTAAACCATTTGAGTGGCAAGCTACAATGAGATTTGATGGGTAGGCCAAGTGACAAAAATTATGTGATGTAGATAGAAATGTTTATCCATGTGGCAAAAGGGTCTGAATTTTATTAGGATAAAATCAATAATAATCTGATACAGTATGTGAGTCTAATATAACATTGGTGCACTTATGAGCCGCTTATCTAGCTATCCTAAAAACAGTGTAAGCAGTTGAAATTGTCTAACAAACACAAAAAAAAAATCCAACAGTTTAAATTATTGAAGGTTGTTGCAAACAGCAGGTCTGAACTGCATGCAGTTCATCTGGTATGTGGTTTGGGGACATCTTGATGGTCTTTGGTCCCCTAATAGTGGTTAGCAAAGCTTACCTAATTTGTTTTCAAAAGAAACCTGCCCTCTAAAGACTGGTGAAAAACTACTTAGAGTAGTAGCTCCATGCAGACTGCTTGCTGCTCAAGATTATGGTTACGCTCAGTGACAGTGGAAGAAAAAAAAGGCAATGACCCCCAAAAATGGAATTCAAAGTTTCACATGTTTTCAGGTCCTGCTCCACCTACAGGGAGAAAGCAATGAAGGAAGCCTGATCACTGAGGGGGGAGAGTGGGGTTAAATAGTAGAAGAGCCTGGCTGGAAAGAGTATGAGAGGTAGGCCTGTGAGTCTGTACTTCCATCGAGTTGGCATAGAGATTGTAGGGGAAGAATGAGACTAAAGTGCGAAGGAGAGATGTGCCTGGACTCAAGCTTGAGGAATTACAAATTTAGAACCGAGGAGGTGGGTTGTGGGCCACTGACTGATTATTGACTGAATGTCACTGGAAACTGTACTTGAAATAACTTCTGTGTTGGTTTGTGAGTGCTAGGGGGAAAAAAGCCCCAGAATTATGGTACTTTAAAACTGCATAGAAGTTCAGGCCGCAGAGGTATGTCTTCTAGGAGCCAACAGGAATATGAATGATTTCCTACTTCTCATCCAGGGCTTTTGTGCTGCTTTCTATCGAGGCCAGACCTGTATTTCCCTTCTAGTACTTAGCCTAATACTTGTGAGTGAATTCGTTACACTGTACTAATCTCTAATTTCAATTTGTCCAGAGATAAGCTAAAGCTAAACTGAGTAGTTTCACTTTGCAACTGAGACAGTGGTTGAAGTAGCTCAAGCATTAATAGCTATGACATAGACTTTGTGTATGAAACCAGCTTTGATAGTAATTATGCAAGATCCTGCACCACAATTTTCTTTGTTTTAAGTGTTTATTTTTAATGCATTTCAGGTATTTCTTTAAATCCAGAACAGTGGAACCAGCTGAAGGAACAAATTTCTGATATTGATGATGCAGTAAGAAAACTGTAAAGACAGAGCCATACAGGAACTGCTATCATTTAGTTGTTTCAAGAGGTCTTTTTACATTGGCTTTTGTTTCTAAAATATTGTTTTCCAAGCTATTGTATATTTGGATTGCAAAACGATTTGTAAGATGAATACTTTTTTTATGTGCATTAAAAGTGTATTCTGAGTGAGGCTATTTGTGTATACTTTACTAAAAGGAAATGTGTTGCTTTCACCTGGTGGTGTATAATAAACAAATCAAATAATATGTAAAGCATATTTGTTTATGGCCTTTTGATTGAAGGTGTTTGGTAAGGCCAACTAATAGCTTTAGTCTTTGTTTTAGTTTCAGTTGAGTTAACAGTTAATATAAATTTGTTTTCTGAAGAGACTTCTTAAAATGTCTCCATTTAATTTTTTCTTTTATTTCATACTCTTCAGTATTGCCCTGACAGCTTTCTGCTTTAAGACTTGATACAAACAGTGAACACTTGATAAAACACTTTTTTGTACATAATTTTAAATACTGTAATTTGCTAAATTACTGTTTAATGTAAACAGTCCAGAGAATATACATTTTTTTGCATTACTTGCATGAAGTGTTATGTTAAACCATAATGCTTGAACACAAGCCACATGTGATTTCTTCCCATTTTCATATAGTTTGCTTGACTTAGAAAAAAATAATAAGCCTTTTTAATTTGACCCTAGATTTTAGAATGTAATGCATAAACTTGTACAGTAATAGATATATACCTCAGAGTAAGATAGTATTTAAAAGCTCCAAATATGTTTATTAGGTACCTGTCTCAAGCTTTGCATTAAATTAATTCTTGAACACATACTAAATAGTTGTTCTATAGAAAAGAACAGTTAACCTGTCTCTGTAGGGTTTTTGTTCTTTTGAGAGTAGTGTCTAAACAATGATACTTAAACTAGGCTGTAACACAGGTTAAACAGTCACAGGGTTAAAATTGCTTCAGCCAAAATGTCTGGCTGTCATGCCTCTGTTCTGTCCACACTGTCTGCCTAAACCACTTAACTTGGCTTGCTTTGTGTGGCTTATGTGTGTACAGCTGTTTTACCTTTTGTACAGAAGATACTTAGTGCTTATAGTGGAGCGCTGGTACATAGTGGATCATGACTCTAGTGAACTTGTCAAACATTATACTATTCTGGTAAGAGAAGCTTCTGCACGGTGGAAGTTTTATTAGACTGGATGCTGCCCTAGTTGAAAGGACTTCTTGGTAGGTGTTGCGAACAATGCAACAAAGAAGGGAGACTGATGTTTGAGTAGAACTTGGAGAGATAAGGGGCATGCCAGTATGGAAATTGAAGGTGAAAGATCAAAGTTACTTGACACACAATGACTATAGTGAAGAAATGTATATTAGCAAAATTGGAGAAGAGTTACTTTTCTGGCTTAAGTTAATCAAAGGAAGAAGATGAAATAACTTCATGAAAATGGATTTCAGGACTATGTAGTAAATGTACAACTTAATTGGTTCAGCTGTAATTTTCCCATTTGACATTAAACTTAATGTAGTTTTGCAATATTCTGTAGACAAATAGGATTTACTATTTCTTAAATTTGGGAATATCTTAATGTCATCGTTTATATTGCAGATATTCATGGAAGTGCCATATGCTGACTGTTTCTGTGCAGCAGAGTTTCTAATTTGATACAAATAGGTATGGAAGGGTGACTTCATCAAATTAAACACATATGATTCAAATATATCAGATACCTCCACCTGCTTTAACTTACCCATTGTTGACATATTACAGATAAAGTTAAAATCTGTTTTTGTATAACTTAGGAAATCTGAGTTTCTAAGAACTGCTTGAGGGTGAATAAAAGGGTGAAGAGATGTTTAGTGGTAGCAGATGCATTTTTTGGACACTACATTCTTTGAGTGACTTCTAAAGGCAGGTAGGGATGCTTGGACCAAACAGAATAAATATGAAATATCTGCTAAAGCTTCACAGATGACTGAATGAAACAACTTGCTTCAGATCACTATTGACAGGTTCTAGCTGTTTTTTATTTGCTGTATGTATATATGATTTTTTCATATAAATCTGAAATTTTATAACCAGATTTCACGCATTTTACCTCAAAACTTTCATGTGGCTACTTTTGAAGTGCATGGTGATATTAGAGGAAACATTGTCCTCACTTAGATTACTGTGGTAGTATGTCGTTGGATGGCAGTTGTGTATCAGGGTACAGTATAATTGTGTTCAGAAAGGTGGAGAATTAAATTCATTCACTTGGGGGGGAGTAAGTGAAAAAGTTTTAATAGTGATTAGTTCTTTTGTGGAAACTGATGGCAGAGGTGTTCAAAGAAATTAGTGCTTGTTAACCAAGAGCTAGTTCCTATTATAGAAAACCCCCTTGCTGAATTTGTGGTGACAATAACTGAAACTGTTTTTCCCACCTTACTTAATAATACTTGGGACAGTTGGATTTTACGTAGCTACTGTGTTTAAAAATAGTTTTCCATCTGCCAGTTACATTTCTGCCTGTAATATTGATGAAATACCATATATTTTACCTGAGCCAATCTGAATGTCTGCATGGTTGACCTAAAAAAAAGTAACTAAATAAACCAGTCAGTTTCACAAATTAACTCAAAATGGGATGAGTTGAATTATGAGGGAATTCATTGCACCTCAGATGACTGTGCTTGTTACTTGATAAAAATTGGACACACTCAATGTTATTTTGAAATAAATAGTTCGTAGTGTCTTGTCATGTAATTGTCTACAGCTGTAGTCTTTCTAATTTGAGAAGAAAATGCAGATTTTTTGAATAAAGATTATTTTCTTGCAGACAAAATGGTAATTAGAGTATGTGTGGAAGTGTCCATGGAAGAAAAACTTAGATGTATGAAAAGGCTGTATAGTATGGGATAAAAAACACTGCTCCCTTGCCCATTGAAGTGGCAAAAGAAAGATGCATTTGATTCTTGAGGTTTATGCAGGGCATACTAGCAATATGTTTTATAAATTAAACCTTATGGAGCTTGGGAGGAAAAATATATCACATAGCTGCCAAAGTAACCTTATGTGTGATAAACTATCATGTATGATGTTGCTCTTATTTAGAGATGTTCATATTGAAATTAAACAAATGCAGTACCAACTTTGATATTTCTGTTAAAGGAAATTCCCCAGTTACGTACTTATGTGATCTGTTAGCAAAAAAATTGATGACTGTAATTCTGGTAACTCAAATGTCACATTGTTAACCATGTAGAATGTTTCATGTTTTGCTCTGGTGGTATCTACTGCAGAGAGGCCACTGGAAATATAAGCCCTCCAACTGTAATTACCTTAATGTTCAAATAAAAAGTAGTTAAATGACATATGTGTAATAACAATTTTAACACTTGGAAATAAATGAAGACTTCTGTTGACATAGTGTTATTTTTAATAGAAATTTAGCTACACTAGAAGTTTTCCTTAAATTGTTATGGCAACTGCTGCTTGTTTCTTGCAACTATTATAATTCGGAAATTTGAAAACTTGGTCGTCTTACACTTCGTTTGTGTTTGTGGGTGGGGGTTTGATTGTATGACCCTGAAGGATAGAAGTTTTTCACAGTGATAGGACAAGTGTCATGTAAATATGGAAGCAGCAGATAGAAACATGCTTTCAAACATCAAACAGATCAAACGAGGAAAGCACCTGATAAGTCACTACTGTTACAAAAATGGCTGATAATATTTTTCAATGGAGCTTCTGATCTGACCATAACCATAGATAAGATAGTTTCACGCCCATTTATTTATTATCATTGGTCAGCTAAATCACTGTAGGCTTCATTAAGAAGGATATTTGCTTTTCATAAACTTGCAGTGACTGATTTGTAGGGAGTGGATTAACAGATTGTAGCCTTGAACTGAACAGGTTTTTCAAGTAATTTTGATTAGCAATATATAGCCACAGAAACAGAAGTTACTGTGACTCAGAGGAAAGAAATGGAGTTTGGGGTTGATGGAGGGTCATTATGTCCTGCCTGTTTCTCATTTACTGCCACTCACTTATCAATAGGAGTGATCTTTGTAGCTCCTGTGACGATGGAAGAACAATCTGAGAGGCAGTGTTTTTCCTGTTGTGAATCAAGCCTGTATGTCCCCTACTCTCAACTTAATATTGTTATGTAAAAGTGTGATGACTTCCGCTGAAGAACTGAAATAAAGCCCTTGGCTTAGTCACGGTTTATCAGGGAAGCTTAAATCATGGTGTCTTGAGCAGAGGGATGTGCCATTAGTCATGGAGATAACTTAAAGGCTGAGAACTTGGTGACAGCAGTTCCCTTGGTATTGTGCTTCATTGAACAAAAAGGTTACATTTTTTGGTAACATCTGCTTAATTTGTTTTTTGTTGTACTTCCTTTTCACTTTCAGTGAATCCATATGCACTTCATTGATGGGATGGTGAGTGAGGTAGGAACTGAGGTTGGGTTGAGGACTTGTTTTTATAAACCTTATCCCTTGGGAGGAGGTGGGCTCTCAACCCTAAGGGTGAATAGAGCTAGCTGTAAAACTGCAAAGGTTGATGGAATTAACAAAATGTTTGTGGAAATCTCTAGGCTTATTTGGTAAAGTGAAGCAAGAAACATTTTATGCCTCTTTGGCTGTTATACGTAGTAGACTACTGTTAGTTATCAGTTCACTTGGGTGGATGTTAGAGATAAAAACTGCTGAAGTAAAGAAATGGCAAGATTTTTACATAACTCTGTTACTTGTGTTGTTACCTAAAGAACTGTTTCACACCTTAACAGTTTCAATATTTTATGCTTTCACTAATAGGCTAATATTTAAATAATTTTCAAGCTGTTGAAAATAAAGCTCATTTCATCTTAGGAGCAGAAATGCCTAAGTTGTTATATTCACTAAAATACCACACGATGTATCTGAGGGAGAGGTGAATGACATTGTATATTAAGAACAAACTTGAGATTGATGTGGCCCTAAAAACTGATTGAAGTTGAAAGTTAGGTGGTATGCAGCAATAAAACTGTGTAGTCTGTTTGTGGTGTTGATTTTTTGTAATCTTTGAAGCTTTTTGCTAGCTTTCTCAATGTGAAATGGCTCTGCAGAGCTCTGCAGTTTCCTCTGCCATCTATTTGCCATGCCTTACTGAGATCTGCTGCTCCCTTTGCATTTCCTCTATTATTTATGTTCTGACTGGAAGCGTCCCTCCATCTCCTGGAACACAAGCATCTCTGGGTCTGCTCATGTTATCACGAGACAAGGAATATATTAACAATTGGATCCTAATGATAGTTGGCATATAGAGTTGCTATTGCTAACACAAGCTAATTAATGGTCATACGGGGGTTTTAAATAAATATTTTAAATCATTGTGATAAAGTATACTTAAAATAGTTGAATTACTATTGACAACATGCATACTTCCCAAAGGAAGTAGTTTTCTTCATACTAGCTTGGATTATTGTCTTCAGTGAAAATGCCAGACAAATGCTTTTCCTGTGAAGCAATATTAACAACTTGGAAAATACCACAGTGAGACAGTTTCTAGGTTAAAAACAATAGGGTTATCGCTTGGATATGTGCTTGCCATAAGCAAGGGTATTTGTAATTGCTATGGTTTGGTTAATGGAAAGAAAACGCAGTTGCTTGGGTAGCCTGAAAAGTTCCACAAGTGCCATGTAGGGCATAAGTAGTGTTTAAGATGATATGAAGACTGCCCTACTATTTGTCCAAAGAAACCTTTGAACAATATTAACTTGCGGTATGCTTGTCCCGACATACACCCTGGTAGGAGAACTAGTTGCCCTGAGTCACTCCTCTAACACTGTGTAGAGAAAGGGCATCTTTCTCTTTTTCCTACAGCATCTATTATGTTACTATTCCACAGTAATGTGCCTGCTGTCTATCAAAACTATTTGTAGTAACGTGTAAAATGTTTGTGGCTTATTTGTTAAAATGGGAACAAACATTTTGGGTTTGGGGAACAATTTTTTGTAAGTTATCTTGATATTTTCTCTGCTCCTTCAATAAATTTGTTCATGACTTGGTATTCTAATTTTTTTGGCATTGTTTTGCTGGAAACTGAAATTGTTTTTTCCTGTTATCATTAAGGAGTTTTGCAACTCCTTACTTTTAATATGCTCCAGTTGCAGCTTTTGAAAATGAACTTGCAAAGGTCATGCTTGGATGCAGTTCTTACTAGATTTTTACTGGATTCCTAGATTGTAATCTGGCTGACACTGTTTGCTCTATAGTCTGAGTAACTGTTGAAAAGAGATAGAAGTGTCTGTCAGTACTATAAAATTGCAAGCTTATGATATGCCATGTGAAAAGGTGAGAGAGAAACGTGTAGCTGAAGAAATGAGTTATTTTCTGAACTTTTTCAGGATATGTGCCAGAAGCAATATTTTTCTAATTTTGAAGGAAAAAACCAAACCCAAAGCTGTTAAAAAACATTAAGCTTAAATTTTTAACTGTTTCTGTTCAAACGTGCGTTGATCAGATGTGCCCTTTTTTAATGCAATATTTTTGAAAAAGTTACAGCAATATTTTTTTATAAAGAAATCTGCCTAGATAAATGCTATGTTTAGCACCACAAAATTTTTAAAGTTAATTAAATCTATACCAATATATAATTTTCAAGTGTTTTTATTTTGATATTTTGAAGCATTCATCTTAACTAAAAAGGTAAATTTCTATGAAGCTTTGTGAGAATTTTGGAGACTTCCACAGATGGAGATTGCATCCTTGGCTGAAGAAAGAGGCTTGTTAACTTCTTGTGTGTATGTTCTTGGACAAAGAGCCTGCTGTGTGCTTTGGGCAATGAGTTTGATCTGCCTTAGGTCAGTATTGCCTCAAAGCCTTGGTATTAGCAGTGTGCTATATTAATGAAGGGCACAACTGACTTTTTTAGAGTTTTTGGTGTATTTATTCTATTGAAGTCAAATTTGGATGGACATGTAGCTTTGCTAATTAAACATTCTATTTTGTGTGGTTTTATCTTCAAAGGACTGAGATTAGCACATAGTCAAGAAATTTATAATATTTCAATAAATATATAGTTTAGATAATTTTCAGTTCTGTCTTGTATCTGGTTACATTTCTGCTTGAGCCTATGCTATTGTAATTCTATAGGCATCATTGATCAATGGAGTCCTGGTGCAAGGCAAGGTAATACTGTTCTGTCGGCTAGCAGATGTTTTCTTCGTTATGAATCTTTTGAATGCAACATAGACGGAAAGTGTAAAGTAGAATAAAATAACTGATACCACTGATTTGCACATTAAGGGTATACAAGATCTGAATTGAAAGCCTTCTTATAATACAGTTTGACAACCTGCTGGTAAATCTTCAGCAGTATTTGTAATATTTCAGAGAGGTGAAATACGTTTTTTTCTTTTTTCCCTTGGGCAAACCTCAATAATTACTTTTAAATAACTTATATTATGTCTAACATATATTTAGACAGATCTCCGTGTAAGTGGCTACTAAATGCAAGTTCTCTTCTGGCAACAATATTTAAGTAATAATTCAGTATAGGTTAGTGCAGTGTATGTGTGTACTGTTAAGTCTGTAAATGGTACCGTGATGGATGCCCCCGCGCTGGCTGAGAGAGCAGTGCTTGGGTTCAGACATCCCCGACAGGCAGGCCTGGCTGATACCAGCGCCGCCGGGGAAGCCATGAGAACAGAGCTAGGCCACAGCTTCTCAGGGACTGAGCGCTCTAGGCCGCGGCTTATCAGCAGATAACAGCAGCAGCCCGAGCCGGGACTAGACAAAACTAAAAGTACACCAGCTGCACACTTGAACAAAAGCAAAGTCAGGATTTGACTACAAGTCCATCTCTTTACACTATAAATACCTGCACCCTCCTCGAGCCTGCTGAGCTTTCCTGCACGGCAGCAGGCTGCACAGCAGTGATCTCTCCCCTTCAGCAGAGACGCCTCTCAAGGTTCCTTCTCAAGGCTGAGAGATCCTTTGGCCAGCATCTGATATCTACTGCGAGGTAAGTGGCATTTTACATTTGGCCTAAAACTATACCGTATGGTAGCAACATTTATATATATATATCCGCCTATAGCTTAATTATTACAAGTGTACTAAGTAATAGGGTGTTTGACTGCTGTTCATTGTTTAAATCATAATTTAAATCACTGTCACATAAATGTTTAATTACCATTCAATGATTGCTTAATCACCATTTGGTTACCATTTAATTTTCATTCAGTAATTGATTCATTATGATTTGATCATCCTTTAATCACTAATAAAACCCTTTTAGTTCACCCCATAATGATGATGTCTCTTAAATCACCTGTGACAAGTACTAAGTCTCAGTCCATGTACTTGGATTTCTTGGATGTT